CGCGAGGTCGCAGGGAGACAATCGACGTCACCAATGGCAGTTGGCGTTTCACCTCGCGTCGGGAGCGAGTGTCGCTCGAACAATCGGGAAATCCAGTAATTGGGCCGAACGATCGAGAATCTCATATTACGAAAAATTCCGCATTAACATCACGAGTGTCCCGGGCGTGGAAACGCGTCCCGTTCGCGGAATCGTCCCCCTTCCTTCGTTTGCATTCACGTCGGCAAATATGTTATTTTGCGTAAATACCAATTATCATACACTGCTTTTAATGCGAACGATTAAAAGCCACGGTCGCTATCGCAGTTTCGACGAGGTTTCGCTGTGTCCGAACGTTCCGCACGTGGGCCGCGCGTGGGCGAGTTTACGCGTGTGCCCACGTGGAGGACCGTTTCGGCCTTGAGTGATTAAGTCGCGTCGTCGCGCCTCCAAAATTCAATTCGGCGGAGGAAGCCAACGGGAAGGATCTCTTCAAGTCGCGTGAATTTTACCAACGACGCGTTGTTTCCGCGATGACGGTTGAGAAACCGCGTCGTTAATTAGGTCGTCGCGAAGCCGCGCGCACCAATTAGCCCTTTTCGCCGACTCGGCGCTTTCGTGCTCGGGACTGGAAATTGACAGGCGATGCCAACTGCGGCGTTTCAAAGGGGAGAGAGAGAGAAAGAGAGAGAGAGAGAGAGGGGGGAGGAGGGAAACGGAGAAAGAGAGAATGAGAGAGAGGCGCATCTAGCTGGCATCCATCTCGCGAACACGAATCCAGCCGACAAGATGATGCAAAACGCGGCGGGAATTGCGCGCGAATTAACGTGCACACGCGAATGCGCTCGGTAGAATCGAACATCTCCCCGCGGGGGATCGGCGCATCCACTGCACGTGACGGACATGCGATTGCACTATTAGCAAACGTGTGGCGCCGTTATCCCACGTTCGTCACTCTCCTGCCGGACTCGGAGCGACTCGCGGAAGATAACTCGCGCCGCGAAAGTATAATCGATATTGTGTAAAATTACATTTACGCGGCCGACAAAGGGCGGCCGGACGTCGCGACGGCTCTCTTTCCCCTGCGACGGCTTAATTGAAAGCTTTACACGTGGCTGTTTTACGAGAGCGCACACGTGTTTTTATACAAATGGAGCGTTGCGTACCCCGGGCGATGACAAGAGAGTCCTTTAACGCGCGATTAATACGGCGTCGAAAACCACGCGACGCTTTGATATTTCGCTCATCGTGCTTTTTCTATGATATATATATATATATATATCTCTCTCTCTTTGTTGGTCTTTATGGCTTTTATTTTATCTCGTTACTTTCATTATACTTGTTACTTCGAGCGTCCAACGGGTTTTTGTTGGACGCTCGATGCACGAACGTGAAATTGCGCATCGTGTGTCTTCGAATTGTGTTCTAAAATATATGCCGGGGAACTCATTACTCGGAAAATATTATTCGGCGAGTTCGCGCTTAAACATAATATTTTTCGAGCTCTGCCTTTGCACGCGTGCCGTCTGAAACAATATTGTCGTAGGGAAATCGCAATTGATGTTATCACGACGCATCAAATCCGTTATATATTTATAATGTATGATACACATATTATAATGTACCCGCCAGAGTCGAAATTTTACCTCTACATTAACCCCGCAAATTTGGCTGAACTTGAAGGATCAATGAAGAATCTTGAATTGAAACAATATAAAGACTGTCGTCCTACCACAAAAGGCAACTTACTGTTATTCTTCCCAAGTTGTCGTTTAAAAAAGAATTTGTGTTTCAGATTTTATATCCGATTATCTCGATATTCTATCGGCATTTAGTCTCATCTTAATTTCAACAAGTTATATATTAATCATGCAACATACTTAATTGCAGACAAAGCATGTGCGATAAGCAAATGTTAAATAATCAAAATCGGGTAAATAATGGGATTAATGAGCCAATAAAGCAACGATCTTCATAATCCCCTTATTATTTCTTTCAGTGGCGTCGGAAACTTCGATAGGATTTGGAGATTCAAAAGAAATGAAAAGGAAGGAGTTGTAAGCTAAAGATAACAATTTTGCCAACCAATGGTGTTATGAATCAATCAAGATTTAAATTTAAATATCATATGTATATATTAGTAAAAATAAACAAAAGTGAGAAGAAGCTTTTGACAGATGTCAACAAGACTTGCGACCCAATGGGCATTATTAGACAAACAAATCAATTTGAAAGATTTAAATATTTAAATTATATATCATTTTCGATCGGGAATATATATAATTATAGACATTCATGCACCATTTATCGACTGTTTGGATTAATACTTCTTGCTACACGAAATAAGTACAACGGCAATTATACAGATATTGACAAATAATTAATAATTAAATTGACAAATAAATTAGAGATTAATGAAGCTGCAATTGTCGTGTTATAATTTGTCAAATGATGATAGATTATGAGTGCTGGCCTACATTTCAACTCGGGATATCTCTGTATCCCTCGGTAAGTTTATAATGAATGATTCCACACACCTGGAAACATATGATGCATCGTTGTCCGCATCCTGGCGTATTATGTATTACTCCTCCGTCAGAGCATCCGGATACTTTCTCATGGCACTGACAACGGCATTGGCACAGGCATTAACACTCGTATAGATATGATTCGATCGGAGAAACGCGTGTTAATTAACGCAATGTCAATCCGATTAAATATTTCAAGAGTAAACTGAAAAGACGGAAAAGAACTAACGCGTTAATATACATACTCGTCAGTCAGTTTCGTTCACTAATTCGAGACGCAACGACTCCGTCACGGAAAGATATATGACGCGCAAGAAAACTAAAATAATCGGCAAAAAGGGCAAAAACATTCCCCGCTAATCGCCGACCGTTGTCGCTCACCAATTAATGACGCGAACGTAATCAATGACGCGAGCGGGGACCGAAAGGTCACAGCAATCAACACTCTCAAAACAACTTCTTCAAATCCCACCCCGAATTCGCCAACATCTTCTCGCTTTTAATTAAAGATTATTGCTCTTTTGCTATTTCGCTATTTTTTACCAAATCCAAATTTGAGTCTGTTTTTAATCTTCAAATCCTATCAAAACTTTCAATGCCGATAAAAAAAGATTATACAAAAATTATATATCAACAGATTATAAAAGAGCGAAAAGTTTGCTGTTTTATTCATCCATTAATCCTTTAATTTACCTATATTAATTATTTAGTATTTGCTTATCGCACGCATTCTGTTTGCAATCGAGTAAATTACATAATAAATACACATTATTCATTGGAATTAAAGATCAAACACAGATAAAATATCGAGGTAAAATGAAATCATTTTGAAACAAGTTCTTCCGAACCTTTAGCATGTGGAAAAGAGCGGTGAACCGCAATGCGCGACATGAAATGTCGGATAACAGCCTATATAACGTTATGTCTCGAGATTCTTTGTCGATTCTTCGAATTCAATGGAATTTTCCGATTTAATATGTAAAAAATATTAAAGTTAATATGAGAGCAAAATTTCGGGCAGCCTTTCATGCTTCATCGGAGAGTCACAACCGACAGAAACGGCGGCTGTGACAATGCGCTGTTAAAAGAAAAGCAGATCAGCGGCCACCGAGTTAATAAACTGGAGCACGCGGAGCGCAACAGGGTTGACCTGAAGGGATGCAGGAAGCCACTAATGAGCGCGCGATACGCCGAGACACGTAACACTCGTATCGAAGGCTTAAATCTAATCCCAAGGATGCGCCCGATAGGCCGGCCCGCGAGACTCGCGTATGCAGAACACGTATAATGGAATACCCGGCGGGTTTCGATCGGGAGCCAATTACCAGCGCAATCGAACGGTACGGTAGCCGCGCGCAACCTAGTAAACTTAACCGCAGGATTTAAACGGACGGGGACGGCCGTTCTACATTTAAGGCGAATCCATTCGGACGCCACGAAATTGTTCCCGTCGTTCGTTTCTCGTTCGATCGGCCGAAGAGCGTTGCGACTTACCATCGGTAGAACTCCCGACGAAACTGGGCGACTGAGTCTCGGAGGGCGTCACGTTTGCATCGCGAACGTCGGGAAAATACGACGGAGGGAAACGTCGTTTATGCGTTTGAAAACTACACCTGGATGCACCCGTCGAAATTCGCGGCGTTCGGAAACATTCGAGGTGTCACCGGTGTGACAACGGTGGTGTCGTTCGGAAACTGTTACCGGGTGCATCTCAGGAGGATAATTTTCCATCCGGAAATTTCAAGGTGGACGCGGCTGACTTGTTGCATTTGAAATATTTTCAACTGCGGCAATGGAGCGCGTAAATTTATCAAAGTACATGAAAAGTTACATACTGGCGAAGACAATCGGTGGATGTACGATCTCCAGGGATCTTTCATAGTATCTGACGTGGTTGCACAACAAAAAAAAAACCTTGGGTCCAAATGTTAAAATCTTCTTGTGTGTTACCAACTTTTGATTATTGCTTCAATGTAAAATTAACACACAACTAGTATGTTACCATTTTCCTCACGTTTTCTTGCGTTATATTTATGTCAGTTTGATAACTTAACATTTTCTGTGTATCGTTTAAAAATAAAATATTATTCCAAGCTCTCTCGACATAATCGCTTAGTTAATTTAACACATCGTGTCTGTTGTCTCAACATTTCGCGTTAAATCGATATTCAACATGTATAAGTGTTAGGAATTGAAATCATTACTATCATGCGTTGAAAGAAAACGTCTTAGTGCCAATCCATTAGCATTTTAAATTTGCGAACAGATAACACACGACGAATTGTTTCGATTTGAGATTTCGAGTGGACTTTTTCGGACATGTGTAAAAAATATTAAAGTTAATTTTATTTTTTACTGCGCGCGTTCGAAAACTCTCCGTAGTCGAAATGAAGCCTGCCGCCACCATTCATTCTATCCTCTGCTTTACTCTGCCCAACTGTCGGAATAATATTTCCGCAGGCCAGGAAAGAAAGTAGGCAGACAGGTACTCACCTGTTCGTCGTGTTGTGCGCCAGGAAGGACTTCGGCAGCGACAAGGATCGCTGGTGAGGATCCAAGGCGACGTCGCTCGTCAGGGAATCCTCGCCCCTGGTGGGCGCGCTACCGGGCCTGGACAGCGTGCCGTCCTTCGGCGGCTCTATCAGCGTCTTCAGGGAACCGATCACGGCGTCTTCCATCGGCGTGGACGCGCCGGAGCTCTTCGCGTTCCGCGGGCTCTTCGTCACCGTGCGGTCCGACGTGGTGACCCAGATGTCACTGCTGGAGGATGACAGGGTATTCGTCGACGAGGAAGCGATCGGACCACTGGGCGATCGGCTGATGTTCATCCCTTGAATGGGCGACACCTTCCTGTCCTTGTTATCGGCGCTCTCGAATGCGCCCGGGTACTCGGGCTTCCGGTACACCCGGTGATGCATCTGATCCCTCTTCTCCACCCCGGAGCCTGTGTTTGGACATCGATTCGTACGTGATGCGTTTATTCAATGAGATTCACGGAGAATACGAGTTATCGCGTCTACTTCGACATTAAAATAAAAATCACTTTGATTGACTTCCGAGTTAACGCCGCGTCCTTCGTGGATTTGTTCCCGACATTTCGTGAACGTTTCAGTTTACTTCCTCGGGATGAGAAGCGGCCTAAGATTGACAACATTCCATCCGTCACCTTGAAGAAAGGCACGTTCACGAAACATTGGAAACGAATCCATGAAGGGACGCTAACTCGGAAGCCAATTCAAGTATTTTCCAGCCATAACCGCGAAAACCTAAAATATCACATTAAAATAAGAACGTTTCCCAAGTTTGGGAGAAGCAATCTTCACAAAATGTTTCGAAAATAGACACAGGAAATCTGCTTCCTAATTCGTAGAAGAAGTTCGATCAAATTTCTCGAGACAATTGAGAGCCAGTGTTGGACAGAACGCACGTCGTAGCAATGCGATACCGACCGTTGCCGTTGGTCCCCTCCAACGGCGACCACCTATTAGCCTGCTTCAGCACGCCCTTGGGTTTCTCCTGAAACTTGGCGTTGCTCTGCTGGCTGCTCCTGCTCTTCCGCGAGTTGTCCCTCTCGCGGAGCTCCCGATCGTCCATCCGTTCCAAGGAAGCCGGCGAAGAACTGGCGCTGCCCCGGTGGCTGCCGGCGTCGGTGGAGAGCCGCTGATGCGCCGGATAGCTCTGCGACAGCTTCATGAAGACCGGCGCCTGATTCGGCGAGTAGAGACTTTCTCTCTGGGAACAGTGAGGCCAGAAGTCGCACGTACTGCTGTTGCAGCGCAGCTTCGTGTCAGGGCTCATGCAGAAGTCTTGGTTGGCGGACGGCGTGTTCGTGTTCGGCGTCGTCGCGCCTCTCTGTAGTGTGCGCGGCCGCCGGGATTGTTGCTGTTGCTGCTGTTGCTGCGCCGGATTGGGCACTTTCGGCGGCGGCTGCTGCTGCGGCTGCTTAGAGGATATGATGTAGACGTCGTAGGTGTTGTTGGAATTGCCTCGCCTCTGTTCTTGACTCTCCTCGCGACGCTCGTAGCGGGTCGACATCAGGCTTCTCACCGCAGCGCGACTTCGCGTGCCGTACAGGTACTCGGTCACCACTTCCGCCTCGCGCAGAAGATTCTCGTTCACGGCGTCGTCGGTGGACTGAGCTTTCCCTGGGTGATTCGAAAGAGACGGTCGAATACGGAAGTGAGACTGGCCGCTCGGCTCGTCCGATTTTTATCACTGACGTGACGCTATTCCAAGGCTCTCTTCCTTTCGGTTCCTTGGATCGTTAGCTTTCAAGTATACTCGACGCATCGTCTGAGTGTTAATTGCTTACGAGAGATATATAACTGAGTTTGATTTGATATTAAATAAAAAAGTACAAACAATTAAAGAGAAAATATTAAAATGTTAAAAATGTAAGAAAGACAGATGTCACGAATAGAGTTCATCGTTATAAAAGTTTAGAAGGTGCGATCATTATTTTTTCACGAAAGCAGTCTCATAAGAAATGTACTTGCAAACATCGATAGTCCGCGTTTGTGCTTCCGCACTCATAAAATATTCGATATACGCGCGTGGAACGTTGAGAGCCGGCGTATAGAATATCCAAGAGGCGGTACTCACGGTTTTGAAGAACATGACGCTTGGACCTCTCGCCTCCTCGATCATTCACGATCTTCACGACGACCCTGTGAGCTTCGTTCGAGTGATCCCTCTGTGCGCCAGTCGCTCCCGCTCCCGGTGACCGTTTCTCTGGTAACTGAAGACTCCTGGACCTTCTGACTCGAGACTGATGCGAGTCAGGTGACACCTGATTGGTCCTGGCACTTTGATGCTGCCTCGGGATATTAACTCTTCGGAATGGATTAGGCGTGGACGATCGTCCTTGTCGTCCCTCGCTGCTCGACGAAGAAGACGACGAGGAGGGCGAATTGAACATCTGTTTTCCCGACTCGGAAGACCCCGGCGACCTTTTCAGCCCCTGTTGGCTTCTGTGGATTCTCCTAGATATAACACTTGGACATTTTATTTCTCGACAAAATTGCGGTAGACTTCGCCGCAAAGCGTATCCGCGGAACAATAACAAATCCATTTTCTACGAAACAAAAGGGAAAATAATAGCAGAGAGTTGGACAGAATTGAGGTACAAAGTGAAAATAAAATCAAGCGTAAAATCGAATTTGCGCGCGAGGATTAACTGCTAAATATTCGTTGTGGCTTGTGAAAAAAAAAGGGTATTTTCGACGGAATTTTTGCAATGCTTGTTATCTTTCAATAAAACACTGCCTCTACGAACTGCGTTGGTTTTCGTGTTGCCTACCCTTGTCTGTTGGGTGAAATCCGTTCGCCATTGGCGCGGATCGACTCTGTGGACGAGTTCAACGCGACAGCCGATGACGACACCAGGCTGAGATTTAAGGAGGAACTGGGATTGTCGTCTTCGTCACCGTCGTCATATCTAGCACCGAAATACCGACATTTCTGCATTCGGCGTTTCTCACTTGCGATAAAATTCTACTCTAATTTCGCATACGCTAACTCTACTTCGACATCGGTCGGCATTTCATCCACTGACACAACAGAAACGTCTAAGTTGACTTAAGACCGCTGTACACCGGATATATCTATCCCAGACTGTCGAACGTAACTAACTGTTAACTCTAAGCACAGGCAATTTCAACCGTTAAAGGATCAAGTTAGATCTATGGAGGGATCGCGCGTGAGGTAAGGAAAATCACGCACCCTTCCACCGAGGAATCCGTGTTCTCCGCCAAGCTGGGCATTACGGACTTGGTAACGCAGCTGTCGAGGCTCCTGAATCCCATCGACGACGACGACGAGCTGGAGGATTCGATGTACCTCTGGGCGAATTGCGTCCTCCTCGAGGACGACTGGTCCTCCAGGGACTTCGCCTGCGCCATGCGATATTGCTGTTGCTGCTGCTGCTGGCTGGAGTTCTGCCGCTTCGACCTGGCGGACGCCGAGGCGGAATTCTTCCTGGACGGCAAGGAGCTCCAGTTGACCTGGTGCGGCGGCGGCGACGGCGGCGGGCTGATGATATCGCTGTCGACGATGGCGTTCGATCGCGGCAGGAAGGGCGCCTTGCCGTAACTGCTGCGCCCGGAATGCCGGGAAGAGGATTTCCTGCCGACCTGGTCCTGGAACGCCGGCGGCGGCGATATGATCGGCGTGACCGACGGCGGCGAGAAGGACTCCGGGATGTTGTGAGGCGACGTGCACGCGCTGGTGGTTATCGAGTCGTAGTCCTGGTTGTGCAGAGCGAGGAAGTCCGGCCTCTGGGAGTCCAGCCTGGAGAATTCCAACGGACACTTGCCCGGCTCGCTGTTGCAATGGTAGTCCGCCAACTTCACCGCCGCCCGCCGCGGCAAAGGCAGGGTGCCGGTGGTGGCGTTCACCAGGTTGTCGTAGTTCGACCGACGATTCTCGTCCAACGACCGCTGCTGCACCTGCACCCAGCCGGACCGGCCCAGGTAGACGCCGTCGACCTCCTGGTCGCACCATCGCACGGGCGACAACTCGCGGCTGCAGTTGCCGCTGATGAAGAGCTCGCCGGACGTGCCGCTGTTGCCCGACAGGAAGGAGTTCGTGGCCTCGCGCCGTCGGGAGCCGGGGATCTACGTGGGAGAGTCTCGCGTTGCCAACGGATCAACTACATCGCCTCTGCCTTCCGCATCCGCTCCGGATTTTTGACGCTTCGTTTTTCGGTAACGCGCAAGCAACAAACTCGCCCGCTTTCATTTCGACAACTCGTTTAAGGCCGGCTCAATTTAATTCCAGCGACGCGGCTCGAAACGGGGCGCGATGCGAAACTCGTCGTTCATTTCCACCGTGCACCTTCGTGGCGATTAGGACGAAAGTTAATTAGAAACCGGTGCAGAGCCGTTCTTAATTAATTAAAATATTAATGAACACTGACCGCTAATTTACGTGTGATGCTCTTCGCCAAAGACGGAGGTGAAAGAAGACGAAGGGGGAGGGAATCAGTTGGACCTCACTTAACTTTAATTAATATCCGCGGGAACGACCCCTTCCTCGGCTACCGTGCGGACTCGATCTCTATCTCCGATATCGCTGTATAAGCCGGGAGCGGCGCGTATCCGACGAGTGGAGCGGGATTCCACTTACTTGACCATGGCCGTCCTGGCGATGCTTGAGACCCGACGTCGACGTGGTTGACGTGGATGTATCGTGACGTTTCAAGGAAGGTATCGAACTGCCGCGGTTGTAGGAGCCGCGCGCGCTCCCACCGGATTTCCCTCTGCTGCCAGTCTGACTCTTGTTGCTGCTGACGCTGTACGAGGAACCTTGAGAGCCGACCTCCCAGGGGTCCGCCGTGTTGCGAAGATGGAGGATCGACATGTTCGGGCCCCTGCAACCGAAATTTCCCTCCCGTCGAATCTGGCTTAGGCGCCGGGGATAATACATCGCGCACCGCCGCTTATCCTTGAAGGAACAAAGTGTCTGACGGGGCCGATTAGCGTCCGCATGGCCGTGTTCGGGTAATGACACTGCCGCACGACGACGGTAATGCGGATACGATGGACAGTATGCGTTTGACTTTCACGTCGATTTGTCATACGACACGTCATTTTCCGCGCGCGCTGTTTGCAAGGACGCGTGAATTATGCAACGAACGTATTCCAGCTTCGTGAGAATTTCGTATTAAAAAGGATATTATGCACGGGAAAAGAGAGTTCGGTCGAATTCGCTGGACGATGAGCTGACCGAACGCGTTTCGGCCGGAGGGAAGGGAAACTTCGGTTGTAAGAATCAAGCTTGGATCGTAAGAACAAGAAACTCGATTTCCATCAACCCGCATCGCGTTTGGTTTATTCATTGTATTCCGATAAATTCAATCGACCTTTTTTCCGTGTGCGTAAGCATCCGTCGTGTATCGTTCTCGCGCGAAATTCGTAATTCTCCCCCTGTAATACGCTTCGCCGTTGAGAATGAGAACGAACGAGATCGTAACTATGCGAAAGTATCTTTTTCTTCTTTTCTCGCGCGCCGCTGCGTAAACGTGCACCTCGTTTCCCTGTCTCTTTGCTTTGCCATCATCGAATCTAGAATCTCGCTTTACTTTGTTGCAAAAGGAAATCGACTTGCGGCGCACTTTAGCATCTCCGGGGATTTTATGCGACAGTCGGTGTAGGAAGCCTCTCGCCTCCGCCGACGTCTCGAAGTAAGATAGATGCGCTCGTTTTTGCTTGTCTTCCCTCTCTCTCTCTCTCTCTTTCTTTCTTTCCCTTCTTCCCTCTTTCGGCATCTTTATTCACTTCTCTCTTTCTCTCTCTCTCTCTTTCTCTCTCTCCTACCCAACAATACCTATATCATGCTTAGGCACGACGATGAATATTTATATAACGAGATTGTGTACTACACCAAGCACTAGGAAGAGGAAGAGATACAGACAGTAGTGGAGAAAGAGGAAAGGAAGCAGAGAGAGAGAGAAAGAGAGAGAGAGAGAGTGAAGGCGGTATATCCAGGTTGCATCGCGTGCACCTGTGCGTCGGCTAAGAACCCGCGGCGATGTGTGAAAGTCAGATATCCGGATAATTTTCCTTGGAAGAAGATGCCGTGACCTCTCCCTCTCTCCCCCCCCCCCTCTCTCTTTCTCTCTCTCTTCGCGGACAAATGCATCTCCTGCGTTATCTCTTCCTTCCTGTTTCTGCTTCCGTCTTTCGCTCTCATCCTGTTTCTTTCTCACTATGTCTCTTCTCTCCTCGCGCGAACCCTCGCGAGTCTTCCGTCGTACGGGAAAAATTGCGCTGTAAACCGCCGTGTGATATAAAAATGTCAAACTCTGCACTACATACACGAAGAGACAGAGATATTCTCGTGCGAGTACATTTAATAAGAAGAGCCGTGAGCAGATTGTATGGCTCTTTCTCGCTTCGGAGATGGTGAGTAAAGAAAAAGAAGAAAAAAAGTATAAAAATCACCGGCGGGATCGGCTCGATTGATGTTTTCGTCGTCAAACGGCCCGGACGAAGTTTGTCGTTTGCCCAGAGAGTCGACCGCCTTTGACATCGTCTGTGATTAACGCCACGATCAAAGAAGTCACACGCCGCGGGAGACATGCAGGAGAAACGCTCGCGAAAATGAAATTCCCGGAGAGATTCGGATCGCGTCTCAAAGTCTCGCTGCTGCCGCCGCCACCGCTGCTGTATTAGATGCAATTTTAATTCGAACGGATAAATTCGGCATTAGCCGTTCGAGAGCGCGTTAAAAGCTCTCAGCCGGGAAACTTATCGCAGAGACGTGAGATTTTGCGGAAGCGGCGCGGACTTGATTTGGCGGAGCGTTGAAAAATTATTAATGAGAAACTCAGGGGATTTACGAGCGGCGCGAAAGCCATGATTTATAGAAGCATTAATTAATTTCAGGCAAAGACAGGCTAAGACGTTCGTAACGGGCGAAACTAGGTGACAAAGCATATTTCGGATACGTTACTCGCCGCGAATAATCTCCCGTCGATATCGCTTCGTCGTGTGGCTGACGAAACGCGCCGAATAATTCGGTCGGTCGCTATCGAGTGGGACGAAAATATCTGTCCCCGATTAATCATATTTACCTCTTAACCGACATGATACGCGGAGTCCGCCGGTTTCCTTTGATCGGCGCGGCGTGGTTGAAATAAAACCGTTCCTCAAATAGAACGATTCGTCGGACTTCAAACAGAACAACGCTATGCACAGCGGACACCTTCTCTTTCAGCCCGCAATCGCGCACATTTCCGTCAATACACCGGTCGCATTGAAAAACAGCTTCTCGTCCGTTATATTTGATCGACTTTTTCACAATGTCGGGGCGATCGTTTATCTCACACGTGTCGCGAAACGGTTTCGCGGCATAATTACGTCCGTTAATTTATTTATTTACGAGCGTCTCGAGCGTTATGAGGAGCTCCGGTTGTTCCTGCGGATTAATTGACGAACGATCGACCTGCGAAAATCGACATTACTTCAGATTTACGGTTCTTCCGATGAATTTAACATTCCTCCGTGTAAACAGGTTGCGCCCGGCGGCGAGTATCCGAGTGCACGAAGTGACTCGAGAAGAGAGTACGTCGTCGTGCGGGTCCATTGGGCCTCATGAAAGTTACATCGTGTGTAAGCACGCGGGACCGACGTTAAGAGCAAACACGAGTGGCGTAACGATCGAATTGGATGTTTCCTACCACCGGATGCGACGTTCTAACTTCACGAGATCAGTTTTGTCGTCGACGGCTTTCTCGGCGACGTGGCTGCGCGATTTCACTGCACGCTCGGTTCCCCTCCGTCCGCGAAATTCTCTCGATCGCGTGCACTTTATCGTTCCAGGGACCGCTGCGCGCTTGGGAAGACGCACTAAGCCGGTCAAAGGGAACTCGGAAGTCACTCCTGCATCGTCAGGAGTCCTCGGGGAAAAACGAGACGCGAGATTACCTGTCGACGCGCGAGATGGGGCCCGCGCTGCCGATCTCGGTTGTATCCGCGGCCGGACTGACTCTCCGCGGCGGCAGGGCGGGAGGTGCGGCCTGACCGGGAGCTTGGCTCGAGGACGAGGTCGAAACGGGCCCTCCGACGCCCACGCTACCCCCACGTACCCCATCTTCGGCCGAGTGCTGCCTCGAGGACTGCGAGTTCTGCGACAGCCAACGGCGCCCGGCGCTTCGTGTCACCACCGTGGGCCCACCGGGTCCCGGCTGATGACCTATCGTGCTCCCACCATCCAGCGACGTGCTCTGTAACCGAAATTCAAGGTCGTTCTACGTGGGCGCTCGTGGACGAACCGAAGAAACCTGTAGGATGTAGCTTCACTGACGATCGCAGTGTCGCGAGACGTAATCCGAAAGAATATTCCCGAGACGTACGGCGAATCGAATATTCCCGGGAGCGAGAAATCGCTTATCTTTCGATTCAGATCACATCTTCGATTCAGAATGCGAAGAAATTGAGCCGTGCGATCGAAATCTTAGATTGGACATCTGAATCATATCGTACTCTCTTAAGTTGAATCAGTGGGACTAATGTATCACTAATTGAATCGGTGGAACGATAATCAGTGAGTATTCACTAATTTTTCGTGAAAACTCTTCCACTCAGATGTTTCGTCTATCCGATGAATACCGTCGATGATATATCTAGACCGAGCGTTGAGGAGCGGAGGTCGAGATGCACGTAGGAAAGGATGCGCTCCGATGCGTCTCCCTTCGTTTTCGCTCAGGCACGCGCATAGATGGGAGGGAATGCAAAACAGAGCGCATCCTTTTTGCACTTCCATGCCTCGAATAAAGATAAACGCTCGGTCGAGCGATATACAATGTCTACGGTGATACCACGGTGATTGCACTTTAGAGAGTAGAAACCAGAGAGAAGATACATCTCGAAAACGAGCCGCTCGACAAAATGCCAGCTTCTCTCGATCTTCCGAGAGGCGATTCCCGAAAACGCCGCTACCTCGCGCGGCTCCCGAAGCTTCCCTTTCTTCTCCGGCGTTATTGGACTCCCTCGTTAACTGCGCGTCGTTAGCGGGAGCTATCATCGCCAGCCATGATCATTATGAAATTGTGTCAATCGCTAAAGGGGCCCATGCTAGGGCGCCATTATCGTTACATCGACCGGCGAGCTAAACCCGCGGCCGTGCGCGAGAGGCCGTTTCTACTTCCAAATACGGGCGAAGCACGTACAACGGGCGGCCCCGCGGCTGGCGCAACTCCGTGTGTGCCGATGAAAGTATTTTTATTCTCGTCCCGGTCGCGCGCGAGAGGACCCGAGAACCCGTCCGCCGCCGCCGACCGATCTGTCGCCGCGAGCCTCAAACGTGCGTATCGTTTTATCGACTTTCATTACTCCGCGCGGACCAATATCCCTTTGTGACGCGGCCGTGAGATTTTAAAACAGCTGTCCGTCAATTCATTTACGATGTCGCGAGCGCGGCCGAACGTACGAAAACAGATTACAGAGACGAGCGGTTTTAAAATAACATCGAAGAATTTACCGTGCCGCGGCGGGGGAAGGTATTTTTCCGATTGGCCCCGTTTGTTGTTTCGCAACGCGATTAAAATGAATAACCGTCGAACCGACGATGTCGATGTCAATCGGTGAATTCCGAAAAGCCTCGTAGCAGGTGGAATGCGGTTATTACGTACATTCACGTGATTCTTCCTGGACGTAACGGACGAGTCCTGCGAGGATCCTCGCGCGTAGTGCCGGGCGAAGACCTCGGCGAGCCTGGACCTTCCCGAGCTCGTCGCATTTGACTTCGGCTTATTTGGCGGCGAGCCATCGACGACGCCGGCCAAATTCGGATTACTGCTCTTGCGCTCCGGAAACACTAAGTGCTCGATGTTCGGCGTGTATCCAGGATCGCTCCTGACGATATCTTGGAGCGTCCGGCGACTTCCCGCGCCGGGCCCGCCGTTACTGAAACGAACCGCCAACGCGTCTGATCGATTATCTCGTCAACGGCGACGATGAATTCGCAGGGAACGTTAACTCCAAGGATACAAAAGAAAGGGTGGCAAACGGGCCTTTAAGAGCCCATTCCCGGCTGTTGGAGCGATGTAATATTAAATTTTGCGGGAAGGTGTAAATGTTTCACGCGTAATAACGCACGTAGCGGATTATTCTCCGGACAAACGTACATGGTGAAACAACCTTCCACGTTGAGCGAGTCGCAATTATTTTCTCATATATAATACCCCTTATCCTTTGCCGAACATTGAAATAATTAATGACGCATATGTGGCGAGATAAGTTTCACTTGCGAAAAATACTGCCTCAGTCGGGAGGACACTTATATCCTCCCGTAAAATTTAATATTGCATCGCTACGACAGCCGCGATTAACCCTAGAATACTAACCCGACGTCTTGGAAACGTGCACGCAGTAAGAAACTTTGTGTAAGTAGCGGGCCTGACATTTTTGTATTGTTCTAACATGGGAATATGTTAAAAATTACACAAATATGTGTTGGATTAACATATTCACTTTGTTAAAGCAACACAAATTTCAGTGGACCGTTACTTATATAAAATTGTTTACTGTGTAATAATTAAAAATTAGATATATTTTTTTTTAATATAAAATAAAATAATGTCTCGGCGTCAGGATGAAAAATAGAGGAGAAAGGGAGTTCGTAAAAATTATCTACGTTTCGGAGACTCACGTTAATATTCTAAGGTTCCGCCTTCTCTTTCCTTGCTTTGTTATCTACAGAGCTAATGTAAATATATAGTTTTTCAAGAATACGAATTTCCGACGGTGCCTCGAAACTCGCGAATGCTTTCGTCCGGATGAACCCCGAGCTGCTCCCATAATTGCCGGCTGACAGAAATTCTCGGCAATTTCATCGTGCAAACTAACCTGGGCCTGAAACCGTGCGACTGTCTCTGCCCTCGTCTCTTCCCGCTGCCATGCCCGGGCTTGATGTTCGTAGCCTCGGCCAGTTGCAGCAAACGGCTGCGATGCTGCTGCAACAGCGGGTCTTCCGGACGATTCATTCTACCCTGCGCACCTGGAATCCCGTCGTTCCTGCATCCTGGAAGAGACAGAGAGAAGAAGGGGCGCAGTGAATTTACTTGAAAATACTCGCACCCGCACTCTTTAACGATCTTACGCAGCGCGTCCGCTCTTACTTTTTGCGCGACGCAAACAGCATATTTTTGCTACCGTTACTTTGAAGCCTCTCTAGCGTGATAACGGTTAAAGGGCTCTTTTAAGGATAATGAAGCTCTGCTTCGAGCGACCGAGAGGCCTGAGGAGAGTTAACGTAGAGCGCGAATAGAAAGAAGAAAAAAAATAAAATAAAGCGAAGCGAAAGATTTGTGAACAATGAGAGTTAATTAAAATTTACGCAACAACGTCTGCACGACAACGAACGCTTTCTCTCGCGGCGTCTCGCTCACGACGCATTATGTGGGACCGGTAAAAGCGATAGCCCGAATAATTCTTTCGACAGGAATCCGCCGGGATCAGAGGGAAAATTTACTACAGGCGGACACACACTCGCGCGCCTCTTCCTCACTCGTTTTCTCTTTTATCTCGCCTTTGACGGAGGTAGAGCAGGACCAGATATAAAAGGGACAAGAAAAATGGTGTTCTCCTTCGCCGCAGGAACACCGGGCATGCCCGCCATTGTTTCAGCGCGCCGGGTCGCCTTTAAAAATGCTCTCCTTTCGCCTCCCCAGTGAGTGAGGCAATTCCTTATCGCGCATGTAATACGTCATAAATTCATGCTTTTCCGGGGAAAAACGATAGTTCCCCTCCGAAATATGTTCGACGCTTTAGCACGATGCGAGTAACACGAAAACGCGTTAGCGCTCGTGTTTATCACGATATATTCGCCTGAGAAGCCTTTCCCGTGCGTAGGTGTATGGGAAAGGGCTTTTTAGAAGGGGACGCATCGAAAGAAAGACGGTCGCATCTCTAAGACATGAGAATCTCGGTATCTCTGATGCATCAGGTATCCCGTTGCATCACTCAGCACTCGAACGTGCGACGAACTTTTCGAACTTTCCGCGGAAATGTTGCGTACGATCGATCATGTACGATTATCCCACTTGACGTGATCTTCACGCGCGGCAGCTTTATTATGACAAATGGCAGCCCGTCGCGGAGCGAATGCAGTAAATAGCCATCGGTCGGAGATAACCCGATGAACACTCTCCTCGCCGCGTGATCGATGCATTTTTCCGATAGAGACTCGCCTGACTGGCGCTAACGGGGCGCATTAGAAGGTGTATCAGTTATCGAGGAAAGTTCCGGGCAACGCAAATTTCTGCGGCCGCAAATAGTTGGCCGCAGAGGCAAGAACGCGAATGCACGGGAATTTAATATCACGTCCGAAAACTATGGACCCGCCGCGAAATTAGCCCGCCGAGTGGGCGCGGATATTCCGAGCGTTCGATCCGAACTGTTTCAACTTTCATTTCGCCCGGGCGCTTCCGATACGGCGGAAGGAAAGGAAGAAAAAAGGTACGGGGATATTCCGTCTCTCTAAAAATAACATCGTGATAAATAGACGGGACACACCGGAATCGCGGGATTTCCCTCCGATCGGAAACAATCGGGGAACGAACGCGAACTGTATCTTGATCTCGCGTTGCATCTTGAAATTCATCAGTCTCCCGCCGCAGACGGAGCCTCAGCGCGTTTACCGTCTCGGCGAAATTTTTTCTTCCACCGGCCCAAATCGAGCATGCCGGTAATGCTGGCACGCCTTAAGCGACGATTTTACTTCCCATTACAAATCGTTTTCCGATTCCATTAAGAGCCACCGTTCTCTTTGCAGTTCTTGGTTACGTTGACACGTAATCTGTATTTCAGCGTCGGCCTCAATGAAAGCATCGTTTGCCGTCTCTCTCTATCCCTTTTCCTCTCTTTCTCTCTCTCTCTCTCTCTCTCTCTTTCGTTTTCTCTTCCTTTCTCAAGAGAGGCCCACGGACGACAACTCCATTTACTGAAATTCAACAACGATTTTTCCCACTCGAACTCCGGTTCAGCGCCGCAAAGAGTGTCGGGGTAGAACCGAAAGGCGGAGAAGGATTTCAAAAAGTCGATTTCGCACCGTCGAAGATCCGGCGTTCGCGATACGGTTCTGGATCGACCCACAGCGAGTCCCGCGATTTTCTGTTTCCGCCTGATTTATTTGAGGTCGTATCAAACTCTCCTTTGTAATTTCACCATAGGAACAAGAGAAGCCCTTCTCGACGACGCGATTCTGCTCGGGCAGCACGTCGACACGCGCGTTAGCTTGGTCGCACGGGCCGTTCGAAGAATCGCCGGTGATTCGAGACGTAATTTGTAGTCCATAAAAGTATCGTTCGTTTCGAGTTATCGTCGCCGGCGAAGTGGGGGGGAAGGAAGACCGAGGAAGCGCGGGAACGTCGCCAAATCGAAGAGCAAATCGCGCGGTTACTCTCGCTCGGGGATGATCGGATTTGCGTGCATTTGGACAGCGAATTGCGAGACGTGCGGCGGTAACCCGGTCCATAAATTGCGAGTTCTGATTGGGATTTACGAGTGGAGGGCGAGCACGCGCGCACCGTTGCGGTTCTCTTTAAAACGAAAACTACGAAGTGCACCGCGAGTCCTCCAATCGGAATTTACGGTCGTGTATCTCGCGAAAGAAAACAGGAAAAACGGGAGGGGTTGCAGGCGGGGGAGCGGAGGGCCAATCTCGATGGCAGAAGGGGATTCCACGTGCGAGCGAACCGTACGTTTAGCGACAACGTGAATGTTTCGTTTCTTAATCCTTTTCGCGCGCGAACATTTCGTAATTTATATGTGGGGGATTGCGTGAATATGAAGTTCCTCCCGCGAATTTTTCAATAAAGTCGAATGCGACTTCTGCTCGATGTAGAGCGTCACGGCTAAGAACGGAAAGCCGTCAGAGATCCACGGGTTTTCGGGAATCAAGTTCTGATGGCGCAAATAGATATAACGACACCTTGTCTAACGTTTAATTTCAAGTAGATTTCCCACTAACGGAGTTTCAGTGAAATCCGTGAATATTCATTTTCATGCAAGTTGATTATTCGCGAATTCGACGATCGTGCGGGCCTTTATTCGCGCTGAGATAGAAACAGGAACGAGAGATCGTTTTGTATATTTCCAGCGCGCGAAGGAACCGCGATGAAGAGGCGAAAATTGTATAACACACAGGAGAGACACATGGGAGATTAATACGTGACGAGCTTCAGGGAACGGTGCTTCCGACTTAATACGGACGGTAGTTTATGCTTCGAATTTTATCCTGGATTCTATCCTGCCGTCGGATGGGGTCACGTATTCCGATAACGCGAATCTAGATTTGCTATACATCTGTTTCAGGATCCAACTCCTGCCAACCCCCGTGAGAGAGCGCAAGTCGCTGACAAAAACGCTGTGCGGCGGGAAGAGAGGGAAAATTTATGGATATAACATGAACGCGTTGCGAGCATCGATTATTTGACAAGCCAAACCGCTGCAAATATAACGTTGGACATTATTGCAACGATTATGATGTATGAGCAACTTATGTGCATGTATATTATATATAACATTGTATATAAAGTGAGACAGAAAGAGAGAGAGAGGGGGAAGGGGTGGGGGCACGAATCTATCCAGATAAAACTTACAATAAAGAAATAGCAATTATTAACATAAACAGTGATTTATTTTCTTTCATTTTACTTTCATTGAGATGCGAATGTAAACCATTCGAATTACATCACCTAATACAACCTCACATTGAACGCGCCTGGAATATCAGAGTCAAGACTGTTCGCCAACTGGCATATCAGGACGCATATCTACAGGCGTATTGCGATTGGGTAACTCAAAGACTCGATGTAATTTGTTTTATTATATAAGGTATCTCAATACTTGAAATTCGCCATTACGAACGTCGTTCGATATTTGCATATCGTTCTAATACATCTCGATAATAATAATACTTGATTTGATTTTACGTCATTTCACTGGGATCAGCTGATGTAACTTTAATCTATACCGTTACAGCTTAACAAACACAGCAGAAAATCAACAAACCATGTCAGAAAGAGCGGGAGAGAGAGGGGAAGGGAGGATGCGCTAATTGAAACTAAACAAGCTATAACCAACAAGTGTAATATTGTACAGAATTGCCGATTCCAGTTGTAATAAGAACTTGTATCTTATCAAGAACTGTAGAGAAATGTTAAACATCGTTTAAGTATTCCGACGTATTCCCTTGTACAAACGAAAATGATGATCCGATAATGAATTTAACAAAAGTTCGTGCGTGCATTATATTTTTGCAACGAAAATGTATTTGAAGTGGAAAAAATTTATTTGAATTTCTGGCCGTAATTAAAGTGAATTCTCGTGATCGTAATACTTTTAAAATGTATGATATTTGAGTTCTCCATTTTTCGGCCACGTGTATGTAAACGTTCAGTATAAATATTCGTATATTTATAGATGAGATGACGAAGTGAAATTAACATGTATTTGCGTCGCTTTATAATCGAGATATTTATTAAAAGTACTCCGCGATATTTGCTAAGGTTTGTTCTCTCATGTTTACTCTAAAGGAGAACTGTATCGGATCGTTGTTATATGCGGGGGAAAAGTTCATTGTTGCATAAACTTACTCCGCTTTTCGCATTTAAAATTCGATCAATTGCAACAAATCGATTCGACGTGTAACATGAAGATATAATACGAGTAATCCCCAACAATCAATACGACGCAGGTGAGATGGTAAATGCATTTCTCGTACGTGGGATTATCGGAGAATGAACATTGTGTTAATTGTAGAGTCAGCGGAATCAAGTAAACAAAGAAAACCGATACACAAATTGTGGCGCATTCAATTTTTACGTAATTTCGATACATAATTAGAGTTATATATTGTTGCACAATAGAAGAACTCTATCTGATCTCTTATTTCTCTAGAATTTTTAGGGGTATAATTGATATTGCCCAGGCATCTTAAATTTAATTAGATTTAATATAACCGGAAAGTCACTCAGACGATATCTGCCTTTTCATGAGGAAATAGGATTTTATATGGAA